TTGTAATTTAATTAACTTTAAATCATATTATGGAATTATTAATTGTCTCTTTTAATTAATCTTTTAATTAAATTATTAATAAAAACCATAATCATGCTTTCTAGGTGTTTCCATTTAAATTTCCAAAATTAAAACTTGTAATTTTAAATTTAAATCACAAAACCAAAAGGGTGTATATTAAAACTTTTCAAAATACTAGGGTTTTAGAATTTCGTATTTCAAAATTAAACTTTTAATTAAATTTCAAATTCCAAAACTTAGAGGGTCCAATTTGAAACTATTCAAAATTCTAGGTTAAATATTTGAATCAAAATAATCTTATATTATCCATATTTAACCAAATCTTCAAATTTGATAAGGATATCATGTTACCAAACAGAAAAATCGATTTTAGGCAATAAAAATGAGTTATGGTAATTATCATATTCAAATTCTTGCCAAAAAATCGAAAAATACGGAAACTGACGAGTCAACTCGTCGAAGTCCAAGCAACTCGTCGAGTCCTCTATGGAACTCGTCGAGTTCATGCTCCAGAACTGCAGATTTCGACTTTCTTGTTCTTTGGACGATTTACTCTTGCACCAATTCAATAGAAAAGCATCCTAGTCTCTGATACCACTGATGAGTTTTGAGCATAACTACAATCCTATGTGATCATGCAACCCTAATTGCTTTGGATCTAAGTTTTTCTCTATTGAACATACAAATATGAACACCAAAGCAATAACCCTATAGACTAGCATATACAATTCGAAATTCATATATATAAACTAGGGTTAGATGATTACCTCACTTGTTATATTGTAATAACAAGAACAATCCTTGAAGTCCTTGACTCTTGAAAGCTTAGTGCCCCAAGTGTTGCACCTCGAATGGAGTCACAAACACACAATGCAAAGAATGAGTTGGAGAGACAAGGATTTTCGGCCAGGGTTTCTATCTGGAATGCATAGGCCGAAATTCCAAGTGTATGGAGGTCTTTATATAGCTGTGTGGGCTGCTAGGGTTTCTGGAGGAAACCCTAATTCCTGCTTAAGGCTTAAGCAACCCATGGACTCCTCCATAAGAGGCCTTAGACGAAATCTATAGGGCCTCCCTATAGGATTTCGTCCACTCCTAATTAAGGAGTCAATCAGCCCAGTTTTGCAACTATCAATGATTTGCAAAACAGTCCCTCCATTATTAATCAGTTCCTTTAATCCCAAAATTAATATCAAATTAATTTTTGATTAATCACCAATAATAATATGATTTCCAAATAATATATTAATCTTATAATATATTAATAAAATCATCCTGAGTACCAATTTATTATGCATATAATAAATCCTACTCTTTTCTCTCCACTAGTCATCCTAGTTGCATGAGTGAAGGCAACCAAAAGGACCATGCTCATAATCAAATCAAGTACATACCAATTATAGTTATGGGTTTAGACACCTAATCCAACAACCTATTCATCAAATAGTGACTATTCTCAAATACCACTCAAAATACCCAAAATACCCTTAGGTCAAACTTGGTCAAAGTTAACGGTCAAAGTCAAAGTCAAAGTCAACTACAGCAGGTTTCCACGCTGTGACCATCATTGGACACGCGATGGCTACTAAATGACAATACAGTCGAGAGTTAGCCCATCCGCCACGCCCTGGGGACCTTGGCCACGCTGTGGGCATTGGGCTCACAAACAGCTTAATGGATTAAATTGATTTCCTTGATCTTAGGTGCTCCAAAGCCCAGATCTGGTCCATTCTAAGGTCCAAGTGGATAAAGTTTCTAACTTTACCCCTTTAGACTCTCTAAGGGATAGAGATCCCTATTCCTAGACCTAAAAGGGTAAGAACAAAGTTTGGTTTAACCTATTAATCACTTTCTCTTGAAGACAACCAGATTCCTATTTTCCAGAACATTTCTAGCATCAAAATACAACATAAAAATCCTTACTTTCTAGACATGCATTTCCAATTCATGTCTTGGACTCTATTAGGTCAAAATGAGGGTTTTTGGCCAAATCTTCCATGCATGATGCTAAAACTCAATGCTATTCCAGATCTAAAGCGTCTAAGGTCCAAAAAAACCTGGAGATTCATAATGTTGCAAACTTTATGAGATCTCATGATCCAATAATCAAGGACATGAAGGTTAAGGCATAGAAACCTAGATCTATGCACTTTAAACAAAAAAACTTGGAACTTGGGGACTTACAAGAGTCTAGAAGATGCACAAGAACATGGTGAGAAGAGTTGCTTGCTGAATCTAGGCCCAAAAGTCACCTCCTTCTTATTAAATCCCCAAAAATCAACATAAAAGGCTTAGAGAGCAAAAATGGAGGTTAGGGTTTGCTTGGAGGCTGAGAGAGTGTGATGGAGGCTGAGGGTGAGCAACCCTAGCCCTTACATTCCCTTAAATACGGCGCAAACCCCAGAAATTAGGGTTTCTCATTAAACAACTGTCACGCCATGGTCATAGGCTGACACACCGTGGCGTCCATTTAAAACTTGTGATACAACGACCATTGCCACATCGCAGAATTCCTTCACCACGGCGTGGCACTGCCCAAAATTCAAAAGTATAATAAATTATAATACCTCCAAGAATCCGAATGTTACACACCCACTTGGTATTATTTACTTAACAGTGAAGTTTATTGCAAATTGTCACAAATGACAATGCACTTTGTCTTATGTCTCTTTTTACCCCCAAGCTAACCTTTGATGTTTATTAGTTGTTTTAAGAAGGTACGGGTTGTACATTTGTGTGTGAACCATCGTGTTCATTCATACACCGTCAATAATGTCTAACCCTGGGATCGTACTCACTAGGTTTCCCCATAGCCTAACCTACTTGTTGATAAATTGTTGTAGGTTAGTGGATATTGTCATAAGCTTAGGAGACTCATAAGCTTTGAATATTTAGAAGACATTTGGGTTGTAATATTCTCTTAAACCCTTGTTTTGATATCTGTTGTAGCACTCTCGAATAATTTGTTATATAAAACCCCTAATGTTTTTGGAAAATTTTAATTGGGACCGTTATCCGCGTTTGAACTTTATAAAGTATTTGAATTCCACTTTGGAAATCGATTTTCCGCAAACTAAAACAATGGAATTCTATTGAAAGATTTTATTAAAGGCCAATTCAAATAGGTCCGTGCGAGGGGTGTTACAGTAAACCTATATTATTATTTAATATTTTTGTCACCTTTTTAGTCTAATAATTTTGACCTCTAAATAAATAATTTCTCCAATGATTAAGCTTTTCAATAGTTTTTTTTTTATGAATTTAACTTTTTTCATTATTGTCTATCTAAAATGTTTCATAAATGTCATCATTTAGTTAGTTGTTTTTTAAACATATTATACTTTGATATGAAATATTTTAACTTAAAATTATCATTAGAAATTAAAATTAGTATACAAATATTTCATAAATGAAAAAACTATGATTGGAATAATGTAGTTAAATGAATGGAAAATATTTAAAACTATAATATAATGAAGGGGGTAAAAATAAAAATATAATGCAAAAGAAAAAGGCTAGTTGTTCAAAGCTTTATAATATATTGATCATTTAATATATATTAAATGATTAATAAAAATACATAAAAATAAAAATAAGTTCAATATAAAAACCAGACACTTCAGTGATATTAAATGAAAATAAGTAACCAATTAAATAGTAAAAAACTATAAATAAGTTCACATTCTTATATTATATTATAGTTTTTATCGAGCAATATAACAAGTCAATACATCTTAGTTATCATCGTACAACGAATGAGAAGGCAAACGGGCGACAAGTTGTGCCGCTAAGCCTTTTTGTATGGTAAAGTCAATTCTTTTGAAAACTACATCCATAGATCTAGTGGATATAACAATGTTATGCATGATCCGTTGTACTCTACTAAGAAGCTCCACCGCATCCGGTGCAAGAAAACCAAACGTATCAAATGCAAATGGTATGAACACGTGTTGATTTTTCATTACGGTTTCTCATGTTTGGTGACCTTGCATGTAGCAGCTTTTAATGCAGTTTGTCCCGCCGTGAAACCCTCAGCCCTCAAGCCTACGAGAGGGGATACCCCTGTAAGGTCCTCACATACGTGTTTCCCTCCAACCCATCCAAAAATCAAAACGTCAGCCGGTCTAAGGGTTGACATTCCTTCTATCGGATCAGTCAAGAAATTCACAGCAACCTCTTTCTTGGCGGAAACCTCGACACGTTTTAATATGTTGACCAAAACATCTATAACCATATTGTGCCTGTATTTGAACCCTGGAAGTTCTTTGCAATGAACTGCATGCTGTCCAAAAGAGTCCAAACATGTCTTGCGACACACCAGACATATCTCGTCGGCTGGATTTAGATTTCGCATTTGAAATGCTCTTAGCATTTAATAGATTTAGAGTTCAATGATGATATTGAACTCTTCAATAAGAAAAATATATTTTTTTTTAATTCCAAAATAAATGTTCAAATATATTTCATTGAATTTTCTAGAGTTCAACGCATTTTAGGAAAAAAAATCGATAGAGTGGTATGATACATAAAATGATTATGTATCAATCTATTGAACTCTATAAAGTTTAATGTATTGTATGTGGATGCTCTCAAATTCAGTAATAACCCCCATTTTTAATTGCAATGTACTTTGTATTTTTATGTTATTTTATATCATTAACAAAAATCATTAACTGAAACCGATAACTAATAACTACTCAAATAGATTAAGAGACTTATTAGTTTGTTTTTAGCCAATAAACAAACCAAACCAAACAGCCTTATAAATACGCATGTACAATATATATATCGGAGTATAATTTGTTAGGCTTACTATTGATTATATGAAGGTTTACGTCTTTACGAAATTTGGCATATAATACTGATTTATAACCCAAACGGTCACATATCGTGCCACAAATATCATTTCATTCCGTCGATTAACATTCTCTTTAACTCCGTAGCATTTATACGAAATCCGAAAATAGTTTTCTGAAGCCATGAACATGGAGACCCCACCACCGGCAACAACTCCGCGACCACAACTCTGGCCGCTCCGCCCCTCACATACCAAACTCACATCCCGCCTCAATTCCTACATGGCCACCACCAGAATCGGGAAAAGGTTCAAACTCACGGAACGCAACACCACCTTCACCACAGAGCTCCGAGCTGGAACCGCCACCTTCCTCACCATGGCCTACATCCTTGTGGTAAACGCCAGCATCATCACCGATTCTGGTGGCACATGTAGCGTAAAGAACTGCACCTCCGCCATCCCCATCTGCTTAGACCCACCCAATTGCACCCTCATGCTCCCTCCGGATTCTTGCAAGTTGCCTCCAGTGGACCCTGGTTACACCGACTGCCTCTTGAGAACCCGAAAAGATCTCATCGTCGCCACCACTGCCGCCTCCCTCATCGCGTGTTTGTCAATGGGATTATTTGCTAACCTTCCCTTCGCACTCGCTCCTGGAATGGGGACTAACGCTTACTTCACTTACACGGTGGTAGGGTTTCATGGATCCGGAAGCTTATCCTACCAAACTGCCTTGGCTGCTGTTTTTATCGAAGGTTTTATCTTTTTGATCATTTCCACGATCGGTGTTCGAGCCAAACTGGCGAAACTAGTACCTAAATCGGTCCAAGTCTCATCATCAGTCGGAATAGGGTTGTTCCTAGCTTTCATTGGACTACAGCACAACCAGGGTATTGGGTTAATAGGGTATAGCCCATCAACCCTAGTAACACTAGGTGGATGCCCAAGAACTTCTCGGGCCGCCCTAGCACCTGTATTCACTAATGGAACGATAGTCTTGATGCCTAATGTTACAGCATCAGGCGATATACTATGCATGCACAATCGAATGGAAGACCCTACATTATGGCTAGGTATTATTGGGTTCGTGATAATCGCATACTGTCTAGTAAAAAACGTCAAGGGCGCCATGATTTACGGCATAATATTCGTGACTGTGGTTTCATGGTTTAGACACACGAGTGTGACTGAGTTTCCAGATACCGATTTAGGTAACTCGGCATACGAGTACTTCAGAAAGATTATCGATGTCCATGCGTTAGAGACAACAGCAGGTGCCATAAGCTTCAAGGGTATGAACACAAAGGCATTTTGGGAAGCATTGGTCACATTTTTGTACATCGACATACTTGATGCCACAGGTACGTTATCTTCAATGGCTAGATTCGCAGGCATGATGGACTCCAACGGAGATTTTGAGGGTCAATATTTTGCGTTCATGTCGGATGCAGCCTCGATCATGATTGGATCACTGTTAGGGACATCACCGGTGACGACATTTATGGAGTCATCAACGGGGATCAAAGAGGGTGGGAGGACGGGGTTGACAGCGATAACGGTGGCGGGATACTTCTTTTTGGCTTTTTTCTTTACACCGTTGTTGGCATCGATACCACCGTGGGCGGTGGGGCCACCTTTGATATTGGTGGGAGTTTTGATGATGAAAGCCGTGACCGAGATTCAATGGGATGATATGAAACAAGCAATTCCAGCATTTATGACTATGATTTTGATACCATTGACATATTCTGTGGCATATGGGATGATTGGCGGCATTGGTGCATATATTATCTTGAATTTGTCGGATTTGGTGATGTTTTTAATGAAGAAATATGGGATTAAGGATAAGATCAGAAGTAAAAGTTCGATTATTAGCCAAGGATCAAATGTTGGAGGTAGTACCAATACAAGTATGGCGACAGAAAAATATGTCAACTATAGAATCGAAGATACTGTATAATTATTGTAACAAGAAATGCTGAGTTTGTCGCTTTAAAAGTCTGGTAAATGATACTCCATTCATTAAATTATGCATGCGATGTTCAATTTTCAAAATGAATTATATGTTGTTCAAACTTTTATCAAATATATTGATCATTTTTATGACTTTGACCAAACTTTCCCAACAAAGTTGAAGGAATGACATGTAGTCCAACCTTGACCGATCGGTACGTCCAGCAGTGAGCTACCTGGTGCTCATAGACTGCTCTCAACTTCAAGCACCAATCCATTCACCTTATGCGACGGAACTGACATATATAGTTCAACCCTATAGCGGAGAGGCTGTGTCACTGCCCATGGTACGCTATATATGGTGGCTATTAAACTGTTGTCGTATACGATTTAAATAAATAAAATATTCACTGCTTTGTTGTACTAATGCGTAACAGAGAAGCATGGTTGAATCCTCAGGAACACAATCAAATGGTCTGTCTCTTTGCGTAAGGCTTTTACTAGTCAAAACAGAAAATATAAAAAAAGGGATTTTGATTATTAACTAAAGACTAAAGTTGTAGTGAAATAATCTAAATGAAACCAGTAATAAAAAAGAATTCAGTTTTGCTGCGATTTTCCTAGTCATACTATCAACCCTGATCTGGTTATTCAAAATGGGTTCTATTTAAGCTGGTACTGAGAAAAACTATGAAGCTCTAGTATAATTTCTTTTACCTAGTTAAATTAATCAAAACAAGCTCTTCAGTTAACCCTAACTTTTTACTGTCTAATTAAATAAACTCTTAATTAAGATTAGAAAAGTTGCATTAAGATCAATGCAAAATTTTCAGCAATACACAATATTTCTCACAAGCTGAGAAGCGTAAAGATATGATATTTCAGTTTGTATCAGAGTTAAATCCCAACACGGAACCAATCTGATATTTGTTACTTATTATCAGTTGACAAGAACAATTACAGATTTTATTAACTGATTAACTGGAATTATTAAACCGTAGCTAGGTGATCAGACTAACAAGAATTAAAAAACAAACATTCATTTAGCTCAAAACTGAAACAACTAGACAGAAGCACACAATGAAAACTAAATCAATTATTGAGCACATGAAAAATACTAGTGTATTACAGAACTGAAAACTAAGGTTTTAGCCAGATATGGCTGAAATCCGATAAAACTAATAAACAGAGATACTAACTTATTAATCTTGCTAAACAAAATGTAGGAGATGATCCACAACCTTCAAATCTTCAGAAAGTGATGAAAAGTAGCAGAATTCGCACAACCTACGCTTGGGAGAACGATCCATGCTAGCTCATCGTAAATTGAGAATCTGGAAAGAAAATCAGAAAAAGTCAAAAAAATGGCGTGCTTGGGAAGCACGGCCGGTGCTTGGACTTCGCAGGTTAAAATACCCAAAACAATGGCATCAGTAGGTAGGCACGTCCCGTGCTTCAGAAATCTTTTGGTTATGTTTTGTAAGTGAAGAACGACTCGTGTTTGGTGAGATATAGCCCGTAGTTGTTTTTTTTTTTTGCGTTTTGGCTCCAGGTAAGCTCCAGATATGTTCCAGTTATGCTCTAGATATGCTCCAAAGACTTTCAAACTACCGTTCAACTTCAGATTACTTGAAATAGACACCAAAACATGAGCAGTATGAGAATTCTTATGAAATACATGAATTGAACATTACTTAAACTAATGCACATGAAAAACAGAAAATATGATGCAAATGTTAATATTAAATATTCATAAAATAACATCTATCAAATATCCCCAAGCTTAAACCTTACTTGCCCTCAAGTAATAAAAAGATTAAACATCATAACAAAAATGGAAAGATGTAGATGACCTAAAAATGAACTTAGAATAAAAACTAAAATAAATTTAATAAATAAAACACTTCACTTTTTTTTCTACCTTCAATGGAATCATTACCTAGGCAACCATCGCAAGACCTTCCATCTTTCACAGACTCCCAAATTCAAGAAGAAGCTTGACGGTGTGAACCAATAAACCAATTGTAACTTTTATTAAAACTTTATACCTTAATTAGCCTTGCAAGCGAAAATAACATATTTCATAATTTCATGTCCTCGGGACTAGATAATTAAGAACCAGGCTCGACGCATCCTTAAGAATCTGTCACGTCAAATCAGCTTCCGCTGAAGTAGTGGACCACGCTTGTAGGACCTAACTCATATGCTTTCACTTTTCTGAGAACGACAAATATCATATCACACAGTTCTTCATGCACGCCAAATTTGTCTTTGAGATGGCTTCTGAATTGATTGAACTTGAATTTTTGTATCTTTGCATTTGGCTTTGAGTTCTTCAATCGTCTTTCTAATTTCTTGAGATTTCTTCAATTAAGTGCTTGAACTTTAACTTGGGTATCAGATATATATATATATATATATATATATATATATATATATATATATATATATATGATAGTTTGTACCCTTCTTTTATTCTTTGTTGGGAATAAATTCGAGATGACGAATGCGGAATATCAAGAACAATCAAGAATCAATCACCATCATATGCAAGTAATCTGATAAAGGTTTTTCATATATTGATTATGATATGAACGTACAGAGAAAAACCCTAATCTGGTAAAAAGCTTACCTCAAAATCTAACCTAATGATTATTTATAGGGAACAATAAATATATACCATAAATATAAAATATATGCCTTAATATAAAACCAATGTCTTAGAAGAGTTCGATTAAGAACTTCTACTGTAAAGGTACCGTAGGGAATCATAAAAAGATTAACCCTAAAAAGGCTTCCCTAAATAACCAAATATGCCAAATCAGTTTCAATATCTCAAATACTCAACAATCTCCCCCTAGATGTTGAAACTGATGAAGATCACGATTTCCGATCTTCTTGGCATTTCTCCCCCTAAATTGTGAGACTCATCAGCACATGGGGTCTTCAAAGCGAGAGAAATAAAAATAATCTTCCAAATACAAACTCCCACTTGAATAATCATCACTCCCTCTTGAATCTTCAACAAATACCATGGAGAGAATCCGGAAAGTTAAGAAGAATCACCAACAATCTTCAAAACCCGTCAGATTTGATGAAATAAATCCCTTTAGAATATACCCAATTCTCAAAAATTAAAACCGGAAAAATAACAAAAATTAATTTTGTATTTTTCGACTTTTAAATATTGGACAAAAAGAATGGAGTAAGAAGCAATTATTTTAGAATGGATTAAAAAGAATAAGACCAAAGAAAAGGATTAGAAATGAAAAAAATTTGGTAAGAGGGGGGTAAAATTGATAAAAACCCAAGAAACTGCAAAGAATTGTGTGAACTGGGGTAGAAACCGTCATTTGTGGAAATTAAGATTAAGGGTTGTAAATGAAAGACGAAGCGTCTTCTTCACTGGAACGGACAAAACACGATTGTTGACTTAAAAAAGTCAAAATCAAATAACCTTCAATCGGATATTCAATTCAGATTAAAAACCGATTTAAGATAACGATTCCGATTGAAACCCCGATTCCCGTTTCTGATTATGACAATTTTGAATCCTGATAATTCCATTTTTCCTTTCGACTTCGCTGTGCAAATCCAAAGTTGGTTTTTATGATCTGAAAAACGAGGTAATGAGATTTCCGATTTTGGTTTCTAAACCTAGATACTCATGAAATTTTTATCAATGAATTTCGATTTCACACTTCCGACTGTAATACTCCAAGCCGATGACTTCCGATCACAAAATGATTGTCGTTTTCGTATACAAACATCATAAATGTGATCCCCTATGAACAGCCGAATGTATTCTCAATACTGAGATAGAACGATTACGAATCAATTGTAACATACAAGCCTACATCAACGAATGCTTACAAGATCCGATTCCAATTTCAGTTTCGTTTTGGTGGGATTGGATGCATCGAAGATAACAGTTAACAAGCCCCAAAATGTCGATTTCATGATTTCCGATTTCAGTGTTCAATCCAAGCACGAAACGAAACTTGTTAGCTGTAAATGCGAATGGAGCCCAGAACACGAACCTGTAGATGCATATAAGGACGCGAACCTGATCCTCTACATTCGTTGCGAACCTAATCCTCTCGCTCTGAATCAATTGATCATGGACCTAAAGTGAATCTCAGGTTCGCTGCGAATGGAGGACTGTAAATGCGAAAGTACAACCTCATCCTCTATTTGGTTAAGGATGGTGATGGCAGGACGAAGTTTTTCCGCCAAGTGTCTGCGAACACTGATGGTGAGAATGGAGTCATGAGCATCAAGAAGATTCAAGAGCAAGGCATTGACATCACCGACGCAACTTTTCAGTATTGCTCTTTCAGACTTGAGCTCGTCAATTTCCTTGTGCGTCTGATTGAGCTTGATGAATTGGGCTTTGAGTTTCGTTGTTTTCAGGGCAAGTTCGTCCATGATCTTACTTTCAACAGCCAATTCATCTTGGAACTTGTCGAGCCATGAAGAGATAGATGTGTGGAACTCTCTGTTATCAGTGGTTAGGCTCGTACGAAGCTGTTCCAAACTCTCCTTTTCAGTGCGAAGCGAAGTGTTGAGTTTCGCAATCGCGTCAGTTGCTTTTGAGGCATTTGATTCAGCGGCGGTCTGGAGTTTTGACATAAAAGTTTGAGTCTCTGAGATTAGTTTATCGACTTTTTCGGTCGCAACAGTGCAAGTGGCAGCAGAGTCCTCAACGACCTTATTTGCTTTTTCCATATTCGTAGCATGTTCCTTGACCAAGGTATCCAACATACCCTGAACTGCTGCCTTGGATAATGAGTCACTTGGTGATGTTTGGGAGGAGGCGAGCAGGGAGTCCAATTTCTCATTAAGAGCTTTAAGATTCATCTGAGTGACAGGGGCATCATCATCGCTTTCAGCTTCAACAGTAAATGGACTGTACTGGAAGGTATCAAAGGCTAAGCCATCGTCACCAAATATGGTTTCAGAAGCACCTTGAGCTTGAGGAGAAATGGATGGAGTAGTAGAGGTAGT